CGCTGCTCCCTGTGGCAGATTTTTCAAAACAACTCTTTAAAAAAGTTATGAAGGCGTTGCTCCATATGCAGTTAAAGAAGCAATAATAATATTCAGTGCAATCAGAGCTCCCATCGTGGCCCATGGTGTCCCTCCTTGTGGCTGTGCCTTGGATGGCACCCGCCCATAAAGGCCACTGCTTATGACTGGCAGTAATTAGCTTTTAATGGTGGTGGTGAAAGATGGCTGTCCGTAAAGTCAACAGAACTCCGCCTGCCTCAACTTTATCTGCGCTGGCAGCAGACACAGTCTGCCCTCACGCTTGGCTCTGAGCCAAGCCTCTCTATTATATAATTACATGAACTCATACAAATTGCCTACAGTGTCACTTAAAATTACATCTCCCCAGGGCTGCTTGATGGCCCAGGGGGCGGGGTGCCGACCATGAACCACAGTGTCCCCAGTTCACTTCCTGCTGGGGACCTCTGCTCCTTCTCTGACTCCTTTTGTTTTCTGTCACTATATAATAAGCTCCTATCAATGCTTAGGATATTTTCAAACTGGTGACATACGCACACAACAAGGATGACATGTTTGGTTCTCAAAGCCCCAAATGACCCAATAAAGCACCAAGGATGTTATAATCAAGAATATATCAACACAAAGTCCGTGCAATAATGACTTGCATCCCTTTGGTGTAGAAAACTGCCTGCAACCTGTTGGTCTCAGACCTTCCTGTCATATCCTGTTTCACTCATCAGTGCCACTGTGTCCCAATCCTGTGGAGTACCCAACTGGAAGCAGAGGAAGTGCGCAGTTTTGGTTTGTAGCTGCCACCAAAAGTCTCAGTGCCAGAGCCACAGGAAAGAAAACAGTGATAAGATGGAGAGTAGTTGTCCTCTGCTAACATGGGTCAGATGAAGTCTTGAGGTCTCAAAACTATTAGATTAAGATGACTAAATCTCTATATTTGATTTATTTGTTTATTACATTTTTGGCCATGCTTGATGAAACCCTCTGTTCAATGTTGTTCATTCTGCGCTGGATGTGATCATGGACGACTCATCACTATGAGGCTCAGCATCATCACCATCATCATTCAGCATCTCAAAGGCCAACAATGCACTGGAAAATGTTAGAAGCATATATCACTAATAATCCCTCTTTTGTATCTCCTAATCTTTACAACATGTTTAAAGATGATTACAATGTAATACTGTGTGCAGGAGTGTTTGCACAGTGAAAAGAAAAAAAAAAAGGTTTCCAAACGTGAGTAATAGGGTATATTTTTGATAAAGCCACTGCTGAAGCAGAAGTAAGACTCCTGTCTGCTGTTACAGGGAAACATGAGTCAAGCCGTGGCCTCTTCCAAGCCCTTCAGATGACTGTACACAACATTATGAATTATTTCTGTCTTTTAATGTTGGCACATGATTCATTACAGACAAATTGCTATATGAGTGACATTTGAGGGCTTGGAGGGCACAACATGGTTTCCGCCTTGGCGATTGCTTGTTTTGATCAGTTTTTGTTTTGGTTGTGTCATTTGTTTTGTTTGTTGTGCTCGAAGGACCTTTGTGTGCCAGTTTCACCCACAAGCATGCATAGAATCCCGACAAATTACAAACGGTTACGAATATTCACAGACAATACATTAGACACGCTGTTCATTACTGTTTTGGATTCATTGTTATTGTAATAACGAAGCGAACAACCCAGAGTGATCACAAATAAAACAAAAGGAAACGCAGAGGCTCTCTTGGAAAACCAAAATAAACTGTTCTGAGAGTTTAGTGGGGTATAAAAACAAAACTGTTCCCAGAATAACTGCAAGGCGCAGCAGACTCAGCAAGGCTTCGTAAAGTACCTGGACGTGGTGATGGGGTAACATTTCCTCCACATCAAACACAGTGACGGTCCTGTGTGTTGCACAGTCTCCGAGTCCCACCGCAAAATCAACAAACCAGCCGTCATAAAACACAACACAGCTGAATTAGGGAGCTGGCCAAGGAACCACATGAACCATGGTAGACAGGAAGTGATTTTTGCATTTATAACCGCCTGCTAGAAACATACCATGAGGCATAAACAGTTTGCTTTAACAAGGCATTTTGAAACTAAACAGGGTCTGTCACAATTAAGGACAAAGTTGCAAAACTTGCCATACAGTGCTGAACTGTAAACACTACAGAATCTAGGCCAGCTGAAGGAAATTAGGGCGTGATATATGCTGAGTTTTGGTGGAATACAACTAGACTCAGAGCTTTCTCCTTAAGCTGGTGCTGACCTTAAAACGCCAACATCCATGGAGCGTGTTCCAGTGTTTTTGTCGTATTCTGCCTCTCTGTGTGTTTCAGCAGCTCCAGGAAAAATAGAGAAATGTTACAAATGACGACTTTTTTGGTATTACATGGCATTTGCACGGTTAACGTAATCATAAAAATCCCGCCCACGTGAGAATAGAGGGCCTCGCTGCTCCGCTCTGATATTATCCAGCTCTCTGATGACGCAGTCAGCCACCTCTTATGGCTCCACGGTGGGTGCCAACAGGCTGTGCCGCGATTGAGGGCAATGTTGGGAAGAATGCCACGCAAAAAAATGTGTATTTTTTCGAGGTTCTGAGTCAGACGTCTTTTTGGAAGCAGAGTGGCGAAACCAAATGAAATGTGGCATTTGTTAAAATGCATGGAGCCACGTTCATTAAACCTTTGACGCCAAGCAAAATCAGTGGCAGATGTTTTCAAAGGAGGTCTGGGGATCCTCCGAGGAACCACACAAAACCAGAAATAACCTTAGGATTGTGCCTGAATGAAAAAAAAAACACATTAAATGAGAGAAGATTTGTGTCAGCTTTTGGTTTAAGTGGGATGGAGCTGCTTTAATGTGCACGAGAATTATTGCCTGTGACTAAAAATATAGCACAATATTAAGTAACGAATAGTGTGCAATGTTACTACATTATAGCTGACAGTTTTTTTATGTGTTGACCAAATGTCTGATAAATATACTTGTCCATAAGTACTTAAAACTAAGTATATTTTTCAGTTCAAGTGCAGTTATATTTTGTAATTTCCAGGAACAATGTACCAGGTTTGTTGCTAGATTACCACAAGACTACTGGCAAGAGAAGCAATATCAGAGAATGAAGGAAATGAACATCATCTTTAAACCAAATGTGTTTTGACCTGTCAGTATCATTGTCAACATCTGGAGTGGTATGTGTGTTATCAGGACTGAGAACACACATGAAAGGTTCAAACGGTACAGATGAGTAGATCACACTGATATGCAAAAGATACCAAGTGTATTGTTATTGCTGCTGTTTGTGGCAAAATCACAACAAAAATTAGAAATAAAATGATTTTAAAAAAAGGGAAGACGTACTAAATAAAAAAAAATTAAAAAAAGATATGACAACATGTCTGACAATACAGGATATGTGTGTCAAAATGTGTGAGGCATCAACCGCATCAGGAAGCTATTAATTTAACTATGACGAAGTGCATCTTTGTCAACACTCTGCAGGTCCAAAAATTCTCACCTCCTCTTCACTAATAAGATGGAAGATTTGCTTTACCATAAAAGGCTGGGAAATCTGTAAGACAGAGATGTGCACCCAGTTCTTTACAATTTCAACTAAGAAGGTCTCAGTTCCAGGTATTTACACAATGCCTTCCTCTCTCCACTTTACATGGTGTATTTTGATTTTGCCCATCAGTTAAAAAGCCTTGTTTATTTTCCTGCATCTCAGAATGCCGCAGAGCAACTAAGTAAACATGTTTGCATGCAAAGAGAGGATGTCAGCACCGCGTTGGCTGAAAAAAAAAAAAGAAAGAAAAAAAGCCCCTCATCGGCAGCTTTGACCATGCATGTGGGAATGGAATGAGTCATGATCTGCTGGCTGAGACACATCCTTGTCCACCTTGATACTCACAAAATATAAAAATTGGCAAACTGTTCTTTAGGATCAAAGGTTAAAGACAAATTTGTGTTTTTAGGTGCATTTGGCATATGACTCAAGGTGTTATGTAATAGAAATGTGCATGGGAAAAAAGCGAGCTCCTCTGTAGGAAAAATACAAAACACTTGATGCAATACACATTACTAAACAAGGCGTGCAAGTCATTGCTAATGAGTTGCCTCATATAGAGGATGAAGCCAGAGGCAATATGTGTATAGCCATGACGAAATAGGTAGTTCCTAAAAATCTGGTACTGTACACTTACACACCTCAATTAACAACATTTAATGCAGTATAGACAAGCTATCGCAGGCTTGCAATCTTATCAAATAAGACAATAGAAATCATGTTTTTCCAGTTTTCCTGTAAGAACCTACTTTTGGCTTCACCTAGTTTGACATTTTACCAACTTTAGATAAAGAGGAAAAAAAATCTATTTATGAAACAGAGGGGAACAAAGCTTTTTTATATATATATATATCCACATCTTGCGCATATAAATAACAGAAGTGTCTGACTGGGTCCCATGATTGGTGTGCTGTACTGTAAAATACATGAAAATATGCATTAGAGCTGTTTCCACGAATCAAAAAAAAAAAATGACAACAATGCACACTGAGCATCTAAACTGGGTGTTTATGCTCTCTTTTTGTTATTTCCTGACAGTTTTAATGTTGTAAATTGCATTGGTAATAGCAGCTTCAAGAGCTTTTAAAGTCATTTGTCATTTGGTTAATAATTTGTGTGGGTTTGCAGGAAACATGCATTATTTTATGAACATATAATGAAGCAAGCGCTGTAATTTGCCATAATTGGTCTTGTCCACCACTGCCATTGTTCACGCAATACCACACCCTCAAATATCCCTATCAAACTGTTTATTAGCTAACCACTCATTAGCTGTTAGGTAAGGCTAAATGTGGAACTTTTGGAAATTCCCCAGGTTCATTCAACCGATGCAGCCAGTCAAGTTCAAGTAGGAGGACTGAGGTTAGAAGTAGGCGGGGTGAGGTGACTAAGACTGCGCTGCATAAATACCCCGGTCCACAACCCCATCCAGGAGCACAAAGCAGAGAGACAACAAGAGCCACCAGTCAAAACAAAGAGGGAAGCCAACACTGAAGGAGAGACGCCGTTGATCCTCAGAGGAGAAGCATCTTAAAATTTTTTGGTGTGACTGAGCACTTGCCGACTGCAAACTCTAGATTTCTGAGCATTTTCATTTTTACATTTTGTATCACAACAGATCTCATCATGAGATACTGTGCTTTAGTTGCGTGTTTACTTTTGGGGATAAGCGTGCAGGTGATATGGAGCGTTCCCCTCAAGTCCAAGTTTATCACCTTCCCAGGAGACATCCTCAAAAACATGACTGATTCGGAGCTGGCAGAAGTGAGTAGCAGATGGTTTATTTTGTCCTGATTGAAACAGGGTGTAATCAAGCTGTGCAGGAAACTAATTAGCCGCATGGATATCCCTATAACAATGCTAATGAAAATATTTTTTCTTAATTCAAGCAACTGGATGGTGTTAGAGTGAAAGCAGATGTCATAAAACATGAGGATAGAGTTTGTTTTAAAGTTTGTTTCATGCAGATCCAAATATAATCATCTAGATGGACTCACTGATTTGGTTTTTCATGTGCTCCAGAGTTATCTAAAGAAGTTTGGATACATGAACACCCTGCACCGTAGCGGCTTCCAGTCGATGGTGTCCACTTCCAAGGCTTTGAAGAGGATGCAGAGGCAGATGGGGCTGGAGGAGACTGGAGAGCTGGATAAGTCAACCCTGGAACTTATGAAACAACCTCGCTGTGGGGTTCCCGATGTGGCCAACTATAAAACCTTTGATGGAGACCTTAAATGGGACCATAACGATGTAACTTATCGGTGAGTACAGAGAAATAGTCAATGACATTTTGATTTTGAATGTAAAGTGGCACCATTTAGAAGGTATCTAAAGTTTCTGATTAGACTACATCCCCAAATATCTTCATTAACACTGTTAGTCATTCTGCTCATTCTGCTCTCCTCTGCAGGATCCTTAATTATTCTCCAGACATGGAGAGCTCTCTGATCGATGACGCCTTCGCCAGAGCCTTCAAGGTGTGGAGCGATGTGACCCCTCTGACCTTTACCCGTCTCTTCAGCGACGAGGCTGACATCATGATTTCATTTGGAAAAGCCGGTATGTGCTTGTAGATTTTACTTGTTTTGTACATACTGATTTTGCATTTTGTGCTTAACACAGCTATGAAATCAAACACTGATTTGAAAGTTGATTTTCTATTTAGACCACGGAGACCCATACCCCTTTGATGGTAAGGATGGCCTTCTAGCCCACGCCTACCCTCCAGGTCAGGGGATGCAGGGAGACGCCCACTTTGACGATGATGAGCACTGGACTCTGGGAAGAGGACCAGGTAATGAGGCATAACGAAATGTGAAATCATGTACAGTTGCCTCCCCCTAGTGTTCACTTTACACATTGCAATAAATGTATCATCTTTTCTACCACCTCAGCCGTGAAGACTCGCTATGGGAACTCAGATGGTGCCATGTGTCACTTCCCCTTCATCTTTGAGGGCAAATCTTACACCACCTGCACCACTGAGGGCCGCACAGACAACCTGCCATGGTGCTCAACCACAGCCGACTACAACAGGGACAAGAAATTTGGCTTCTGCCCAAGTGAACGTAAGCTTGAAAATTTATTCTCAAAGACAACACACAGGTCAAAAGGGCATTTTCTTTTGCCACATGCTGACTCACCTATCCCTGCCCTTAATTGTCATTCCCGACAGTTCTGTACACATTTGGAGGAAACGCCGACGGAGCCGAGTGCGTCTTTCCTTTCATCTTTCAGGGGGAGGAGTATGACAGCTGTACCACAGAGGGCCGCAGTGATGGCTACCGCTGGTGCGCCACCACAAACAACTTTGACAACGACAAGAAATTTGGATTCTGTCCCAATCGTGGTGAGTGGCAGGAACCACTGTGCATAAATTCTGCTATAATGGCTTGTTATTTTGTTTAACTGTGGCTGTTGTGTCTCCGCTTGCCCAGACACTGCTGTAATTGGTGGAAATGCAGAGGGAGAGCCCTGCCACTTCCCCTTCGTGTTCCTGGGTAAGCAGTATACTTCATGCACAAGCGAGGGACGAGGAGATGGCAAGTTGTGGTGCGCCACCACCAGCGACTACGATGATGACAAGAAATGGGGCTTCTGTCCCGACCAAGGTGAGTAAGACAGAGAAGGCTGAGCAGGTTAATATGCAATAGATTTGTATTTATCCTTAACATTCATTGATGTTTTTGATTTGTGTTCCAGGTTACAGTCTGTTCCTGGTGGCAGCCCATGAGTTTGGACATGCCCTCGGCCTGGATCACTCCAGCATAAGAGAAGCTCTCATGTACCCCATGTACAGCTATGTGGAGGACTTCTCCCTGCATGAAGATGACATCGAAGGCATTCAGTATCTCTACGGTAAGGTCTACTGCCCTGCATCACATCAAAATGTCAACATTTCTACCTTCTCAACGAGTTTCCTTTAAACATCATTGGTTTCTTTTGTTTGTTTTCAGGCAGCAAAACAGGCCCTGACCCTACCCCTCCTCAGCCCAACCCCCCTACCACCGATGACACTGACCCAACAGACGAGCCTGAGCCCACCGAGCCCACCACCACCACCACAATGACCCCTGTGGATCCGACCAAAGACGCCTGCAAGATGACCAAGTTCGACACAATCACTGTGATTGCTGGAGAGCTCCATTTCTTCAAGGATGGGTGAGCAAATCATTTGTTCTACTTTATGTTTGTCAAATAGGCCAAAACAAGACATTTCAAATTCCAGGAATGCTGATGAGCTAATTTTGCTTGATGATCAACAGACTTTACTGGAAGATTTCCAGCAGTAACAACGCAGGGCTCAAGGGACCGTTTTCTATTTCTGAAAAGTGGCCAGCACTGCCATCTGTCATCGACTCTGCCTTTGAGGACCTTCTGACCAGGAAACAGTACTTCTTCTCAGGTAATGATGCCTCACATTGGTGTTTAATGGACCACTAACACATTAGCCAGAAGTGCTTACAATCATAATAATTTTATTTCTACAGGGACCAGATTCTGGGTCTACCAAGGAAAGAACGTTTTGGGTCCACGCAGCATTGAGAAGCTCGGCCTCCCCAACACTGTCCAGAAGGTGGAGGGAGCCCTGCAGAGGGGAAAAGGCAAAGTGCTGCTCTTCAGTGGAGAGAACTTCTGGAGGTGAGTGTAAAATCTGCCTTTAGTGTATTTAAATGTGTAAATCTGCAGCTTGTCGCATTGTTATTTGCATTTCAGTGATAAACAACTGATTGTTGTACTATTTTTGGAGAGAACTTCATGAGGCGTACTTACATTCTGGCTTTAGTGCATTTACATGTGTAAACTTACAGGGGTTTTTTGCATTTAAAAGAAGAACTGATTGTTTTGTGCCATTTTTAATAATATTTTCTGACATGATTTTGTCTCATCAATACAGGCTTGATGTGAAGGCCCAGAAAATCGACAAAGGCTACCCCAGATACACTGATGCCGTCTTTGGTGGTGTCCCTAATGATGCTCACGATGTGTTCCAGTACAAAGGTGAATAAACCAAAATATCCAGTATTTATCCATGATTTCTCAATAATCAAAATCTGCAAAAAAGTAAGGATCCTCATCTGCATTCTGTTGCTTTAATTTCCATACTTCTTTTTCAGGTCACATCTATTTCTGCAGGGACCGCTTCTACTGGCGGATGAATTCTCGCAGGCAGGTGGACCGTGTTGGCTATGTGAAATACGACCTCCTCAACTGCTCAGATGCCTCCAGCACTCGCTACTGAGGAGACGAACACACAGATGAGCTGGAAATTGTCTGTAATGTGGCAGCACCTATTTCTCTCTGTGCAGGTGTCAGGGAGAATGTGATGCAGTGTTTATGTATAGCGCCTGTTTTAAGATGTGTGTGCTTTCTGGGATGTGAAAAATTAGGCCTTCATTGATGTTGACTTATTATAAAACATGCAGCATTGGCCTAAATATAAGTCAATGGCCCAGTACATGAACGCAAATTGCGATCTTTGGCACTGCCCTGCCCTCAGTCTGATAATCTGTGAACTGATGGTTATGGTGGCCTGTAACCACAACTTTCCTATTTTCGAACGCTGTCTGGATCCGATTCCAGATTTGCTGAATAATTACTATGTCTGACAGGCTCAGACTGTAAACAGTATTGGATTATTTTGGTATTTATAGCAATATCTAATATTATTTTTGTGTCTCAAGCTTATTTGTTTTGTATTTGTATTTTTCTGAAAAGGGCTTCAGAGCCAATTTACTTGCACTGGAAGACAAGCTTGTCTCCTTCACTGAAATTATTTATGAGTTTAATAATTTTTGTATTAAAGTTTCAACTTTCAATGCAATAAACATTTCGTGAGAACAACTTACCCCTGTCTGCAGTCCGTCATTTACTAAAACTCTGGATTTTCTGACATGTCCACACCCTCTACTATTAAACATTTAAATCCAGATCTTGATTACTGTATAAATATATATCATTAAACAACAGTTTGTGCGGTAAAAAATGAGATTTTATTCGTTTTAATTTAAGTCACAGCAGCTCTAAGTGGATGCATATTACTCCGCACCCTATTGCGTAATACGTCTTCCTCTAAAAACAATAGTCCACTTAGTGATTAAAAACAACACATTATCCATGAACATCTGGAGCAACACATAATATATAAGCAATTAGTACAAACTTTCTGTTAAAAATTGTAAATTTTCCGAGCTTGGGTTAAATAAGCTCCGTTTTCAACAAAAATAATAAATAAGTTCCGGCTGCGCTGACAGGAAGCAAGGAGAGACTCATGGCGCCCGACTAGAATGAAGCAACAATTATCGGTTACTAATTCCTGATCGATTTAGCGCCTCTACACGCAAGGACGCCCTTCTAATCGAAAACACACGGTAAGAAAAATCAGTAAAGATTCCAGTGTCGGGGAGGGAAAATGTTTTCATTTTCTTCAGGGAGAGTATTCGGGCGGTCTGCCGCAGCTCAGGCCCTCGAGGTCCCCAGTAGAGCTCTCAGAATGCCTGAGTGTAAAACGGGGCTGCCTGGTGGAAAATGGCGACGCGGAGCAGGCAGGACAGAGGGCAGCTAGGCCCGTTTAAAAGCGGCTAACACATGCCGTTGTGGACGCAGATACGGCCGATATGTCGACTTCGTGGCGTCGGTCAAAGTCCCTTATACAGCTGCATTGTAGTGTCCAACCTCGCTAGCTGTCGCTTCATAAATAGGAGCTGTTTTATATCTGCGTTAGCCCCATCAAGCACAACGTTGAGCTAACTTAAGCTAACAACAGTGCGGGCTAGCATGCTAGCAGCTAACCAGCTAGCTGGTCTGGTAATCATGAGCTAACGTTTGTTACCGTTGGCAAGTTTCTTAGTGACATTGTGCCCGTGGCTGTCCTGTGGCATAAACACGAGCAAAACATAAGCTGTCCGTCTTCAGAATCGGTATATTTCTTGAATTCACCCAAAAATGAATGTCCTTGAGAGGAAACGCAACACATGGCTAATGTTGACATGCAAATACATTGCGTAAACACTTACAAATAAAACCGTTTTATGCATATTGGGTTATAACTAAGGCGTGTATAACAAACAAAAACATTTATTGCAGCTAATGTGGGAAAAGACAACTTATTATGTACTCACGAGCAAAAGAGCAACATCCAGGTGTTCAAGTGAAACATTTATTTACTCAGTATCAATGAATTTCACATGATATCACAAATGGCCATTAAATCTAGTAAGGACAAGTGGAAAGTTGCCCTAAACCATCAGTGTCAGTATCTCTCAAGTGTATATTAGTAAATATACTTTGTTACTGTCCAATAACATTGGTCAGTTCTATGTTTGAAACTTTGTCCTGATGTGCACTCAGTTTATTTCATCATAAAGGCACATGTTAAAATGTAAGCTGGGTACAAAATCCGAAATAACCTTGAAAACAGGAAAACAGGGCCACAAAATCTCCAGAGTTAAAATGCAGTAGGTTCTCCCTCTGACACAATGATGAATGGGTAGTATACAGTCACAGAAGTCTGTTCCTTCGTGAGTATTTTGAAGTTAACTTTACCAACTTTGACACATTTAGGAAAGTTGGACACACAGTTTCCGTTTTTGCATCCATTATTTTTGCACGTCTCAAAGTTGTTACGAGTTTTAAAGTCATACTATACATTGCTGTTTGACTAGAGACTATAATAATGATATAATATCTTAATTTGTGCAAATACTCTTTGCCCTATTGACAAACAGCTGCTGAATGGCAAATAGACACAAGTTGATGATCCTGCAGTAATGCCAAAGGAATGCTTGAAATATAAACCTTGAAAGTTGTTGTTGGGTTTGTGTCATTTCTTTGATAGTTATGGATTTGGAAGAGAATGAAGTGGAGAGCAGCAGTGATGCAGGCCCCTCAGGGATGGAGGAGCCGTCTGAAAGCGGCATGGGTATGGAGTCGTCAGAGGCCATGTCTGCTGACAGCAGTGATGCTGCTGCCTCTCATGCACAAGCCCCAGAGTCTGACTGCCATGTGGGACAGAGCTCAGAGGGACTCGTGGTGAGTGTTTTTACTCTCATGTGTGAGCAAACAGCAATATATTTAAGCCAATACAAAAAAAAAGAAACAATGTAGGCGATTACACTAAAACTTTTTAGACATCACCATTCTGATCTTTCTCCTACCTGTGAAGGTGTTCATCCCAGAAACCAGCTCCAGCACAGATGTCAGAGTTTCATCAGTCCACCTCCCAGATTCCTCCTCAGTGGCCCAGTCCACCAGCGTGTCCAGCGTCTCCACAGTGACTCAGTCAGTGCTGGTGTCTGAGTCAGCCCAAGTGCTGGTCCACTCCAGTGCTGTGTCTGAAGGAGCCATGATGGTTTCAGACTCGACTGCCTCTACCTCATCAGATCTGGGTTCTGCCATTGACAAGATCATAGAATCCACCATAGGCCCAGACATCATGAATGGTATTTCGAGTGATTTCCATTTTCCTTTATGTCCTGGGTGCTTTGAGTTTCATTTTATTTTTTTTTCTTTTAACTTTATTATTAAGTATTACATATCTGATCGTATCTGCTGCTTTGCTATTAGGTTGCATAGCTGTGACCAGTGCAGAAGATGGTGGTGCAGAAACAACACAGTATCTGATATTGCAAGGACCAGATGACGGTAAGTGTGTTGTAACATCTAACTCAATAATCCTTCAGTACATTTCAAAATATTTTAGACTCTGACAAAATGACCCTCACCCTCATGCAACATGTATTTACAGAACAAAAAGTTTATCTATATGTGTTTGTTTGGTACAGGGGCTCCTATGGTAGCCCAGATGTCATCTTCTGCCCTGTCCAATCGTATAGCCATAGAAGCACTCGCTGAAGGTCCCACATCAACTTGTCTGGACCAGGGAGACCTCCAGGGCAATCTTGAACCTGACCAGCCTGATGATCAACCCGGACACTCAGGTTACCCAGAGGACAGCAGTAGTCAACCTGACCAGCCCCAACACTCCCACCCCTCCCAGTACATGGATTGCAGTGCAGATGGTCCCGACCAGACAGAGGAGTCTTCGTCTTCCTATGTGGAGTGTTCAGGTGAGGAGCCTGACCAGACACGTTCCCAGTCAGGCTTCCCTGACTATAGTGGGAATAACAGCGATCAGGACCTGCCTGGATATGTGGAGTGCAGTGGGGCTGACTCGAATCCCACCAGCCGAAGTCACTATGTGGTGGAGTGCAGCGCTGGGTATCTTGAGTGTGCAGTGGATGAGGAAGAGCAGCCGCATCATTCACGCAGTTACATTGATAGTAGTGCAGACCACCGGACTCAAACAAGTAGGCAATATGCGACTGAGTATGGGGGAGAATGTGTTGCTGCTGCAGACTCTGAGCAGCCAGGTTGCTCTCGGTACCAAGCAAGGGACGATGACGAAGATGACGAGCAGAATCAGGATCCAGATCAGCCACAGCACTCTCAACAGCAGCCCCAGCACTCCTGTTACATGGAGAGCAGCAACGGCCCAGAGGCATCTCTCTACGCTGATGACAGCTCTTCATCAGACCACCCTCTGGCAGACACGGCGGGTTCAGGCGGACTTCCTGAGGCACTGGAATGCAGCGAGAGTCAGCCTGGGCCCTACATCAGCAGCAGTGGGACATATACCTCTAATCCAGAGCCTGAGCTGGCCCAGCAGTGCTCACCGAGCCAAGAAGAGCCCCAAGGCTCCCAGGATGAAGCTGGGCTGGTCAGGGACATGGAGACATCAACTGTGGAAGAAGGTTCTGGAGACCGACCGCCAAATCTGGCTGAGTTAGAAGAGATGATGGAAGTAGTGATTGTACAGCAGTTCAAGTGTAAGATGTGTCCATACAAGAGTGCCTCCAAAGATACACTCATCAACCACATGAGAGACAAACACTTCAGACCTGCAGGTACAGTAGTTCATTGTACAATACAATAATGTATCATCAAGCTGACTTGGTAGTCACTTTTTCTTTGTGGTATGTGTCTGGTTGTTAGGAGAAACGCCAAAGAAGCGTAAACGTGGGCGACCTCCTAAAAGTGAGACCTTGGCTCGTCAAAAGGCAGAGAAGGAGGAGGCAGAGGAGAGGAAGGAAGCAAAGGTGAAGGCTGCTGAGCCCCAACAAGCAGAAGAAGAGGAGGATGATATCGTCGATGCTGGTGCCATTGATGATCCTGAAGGTCAGTGAGAACAATTTGCATTTAACACTCAGTCAGATCTCTCCAAACAGCTCATAACCTTTGTCCTGAATTAGTGAATCAGCTGATTACTTACTCAGTCACAGATGAAGAATTGCTTTCACTTACCCTTCACCCGGTTTATCTTTAGAGGACAGTGACTACAACCCAGCAGAAGAAGATAGCAAAGGAAGACCACCCACCATTCTCAAGAAACCCACTACTCCCATTTCCTCCTCCTCTCAAGGGCGTCCTCGGCGTAAGGTTGGCCGTCCGAGGAAATACTGTGTTTTAGATGAAGGCTTCCGCAGCAAAGGTAAGTTTTCAGCTTGACAAAGCAGAGAGAAAAACAGCCTCCATTCAAACTTTTAGATTGCTGTGACTTCATTTTTTAATTTTATTTTTTAATTTTTGTTTTTGTTACAGAAGCAGAAAGTATGACTAAGAAATCCAGGGTCAGTGTAGATGCGAGTGCATCTGAAGAGGCAAGCTCCTCTGGGTTAGGCACTGGTCCAGATATCGTCACAGATGGAGACACAGTAGAGGCAGCAATAAGTCAGTCAGACTCTGAGAACAAAGACCCTTCTTCCAACACACAGCCAGAGGAGGAGTTCTTCCCGAGGAAACGTGGCAGACCGTCCAAGCGCTTCCTTCGCAAGAAATACAAGAAGTATATAAATCGAAAGTAAGTATTGAATTATTGACATTTCGTTATATATATTACAAAAAAAGTTTCACAACAGACTAATTGCTTCTCTCTCTTTATTGTTTTCCAGCAGGTACTATAAATCCCTCAAACCGCTCCTGAGACCTCACAACTGCTGGATCTGCGGCTCACGTTTCCTCACTCAAGAGGATTTGCGCTTCCATGTGGACTCTCACGAAGGCAATGACCCTGAGCTCTTCAAGTGCCTGCAGTGCAACTATCACTGCAAGCGCTGGTCCTCACTCAAGGTCAGTCACAATAAAGCAGATCACAAAGTTCAGGTTAACCTCAGTTTACATGCGTGTTTCCACCGCGTCCTAAAAATCACTGGGGCTGTTTTACAGGAACACATGTTCAATCATGAGGGCACCAAGCCATTCAAGTGTGACGAGTGTGATTACACAAGTGTTTACAAGAAAGATGTCATTCGCCACTCGGCAGTCCACAACAAAGATAAGTAAGTGACAACGTACATACACCATAAATAACTTCTAAAACAGAACATGTTTTGTGGGTTTTCGGATATTGTGATTCATTATTTCTTTCCTTCTTGCAGGAAAAGGAAAACAGAGTTGGTAAGATTTTCATTTTGGCCATGTTTCAAAGACATCTAAAATGCTTTTTGGACTACCTCCAGTGAAAATCAAGTTGTCGTTTTTTTTTTTTTACCTTGTTATGTCCATATGTTGTTTTTATATGCTGGAAGATACACTGCAAGCAAAATAAGAAGTCAGCATAAATAATCATGTGTGGCAGAATTACAGTAGTAGTTTTAAAGTGTTTCAGCTGAAACATAGGTGAGCTGGTGTGCTCCAGGTGCAGCAGCCATGGAGGAGTGAGTGGTTAGAGAGGCAGGGACTTCAACGATCAGTGTAGTAAACAGTGTAGAGCTACATATAATATTTTTAAAACCTGGTTAAAAAAAAAAAAAAAACAACTTTCAAACATGTTAATTTGATTCACAGAAATTAGTTTTTAGGGGTTAAATCAATGACTGGACTTTAATAATGTGGCAAAATGATTGCAGGTAGTTTCTGTTGTGACTGGTTGCTGCTGTATTCTGGGCTGGTTGTAATTAATGTAATATAATCAAGAAACTTATTTTGATCCTTGCAGATACCAAAGGTGTCAGAGTTCCCCTGTCCTGTGTGTCACAGGGTTTACCCCATGCAAAAGAGACTGACTCAGCACATGAAAACCCACAGCTCAGAGAAACCTCACATGTGTGACAAGGTCAGGAAAAAAAAGATGATACAACTCAAGAACATTTCTTTTTACATATAAAATCCTATATATTTAAATATACAGCTTATAGCTTGTGTGATGGCAAATCTTTTGTAAATGGTTCCATTCTGTCGTTGCAGTGCGGTAAATCCTTCAAGAAGCGATACACATTCAAAATGCACCTACTGACCCACATCCAGAGCCTCGGAGACAACAAGTCAGTATTCAGACCTCTTTTGTTCTGTCATCTGTCGGTCTTGACTCTTTTCAAACACACAGGTGTAACAGAGGAGTGGTTGGACGTTTCATGTAGAATAAGTTGTTTTGTTTGGTGTTTTGATGCGCCAGGTTCAAGTGTGAGTTTTGCGACTACAACTGTGACAACAAAAAGCTGCTGCTCAACCATCAGCTGTCCCACACCAACGATAGGCCCTTCAAGTGTGACTACTGCAAATACTCCACTTCTAAAGAGGAGTTCCTGGTGTCACATTTGGCCATCAAACACACAGGTCAGTGCTGCAGAAAGGCTTTATTCAAGCAGAGCATCATTTTTTATGTTTGCCTCCTGAATGTGTCACACCTATTAATGTTATGTTATAAATCTCTACAGGAGAGAAGCCGTTCTCCTGTGAGATGTGTCACTTCATGACCAAGCACAGGAAGAACCTGCGTCTTCATGTGCAGTGTCGCCACCCTGAGGCGTTTGAAGAGTGGTCCGTGTCTCACCCTGAAGAGCCTGTGAGGAGACGACGCCGACCCTTCTTCACCCTGCAGCAGATAGAGGAGCTCAAACAACAGCACGATGACACACAGGGAATGCAGAACACCATCGTGAGTCTGTTCAAGCTTTTCTTTCTAATATTGTAATTACTTTAAGATTATTTTACTGTAACAGCTTTGTCACCATTCTTCATTAGGTTGCAGTGGATTCTGCAACACTCCAAGCAATGCAGGGTATGGAAAACGCCTCAGTGTCCCAGGATGCATTGGGAAACACCACAATCATCTATGAACAAGGTCAGTGAGGATTTCCTAAGAAACGTTTTTAATATCTATGATGTGGCAATTTACCGTAAGGACAAATTCTGACTTTTCCTGCATGTGCTCCTCAGCTGAATCCAGTGATCTATCTGCTCAGAATGCCCTGGATCTACTGCTTAATATGAGCAACGCACGGGAATTAGTTGGAAACTCTTTACAGGTTGGTTTATCAAAAATTCCACTTATAAAATTGACAATCATGTGGAAGCCATCCTTGAGTTTAGGAAATAAATGACTAATGTAAAACATTCTTTATTGTGTTTTTCAGGTCGCCGTGCTGAAGTCAGAGGGAAAAACTTTGGAAAAGGGTTCATGGAGTACAGTGACTACAGCGCCAGGCCAGGCCCAGAAGATCGTGACCTTCCACGTGTCTGAAAACGGTGAGACGGTGCTACAAGAGGCATACGAGGCAGCCACGTCTGAAACAGGAGAGCTTACTCACATCGCTATTGAAGCATATGAGAGGGGAGGAGAGTTCAGTGTGGTGGAGCAGGCTGCTGAAGAAATCCATAGCCCTGGATACAGGTAACATTATACACAATCAATATGTTCTACTTAGGAGCACATGCTGTTACACTGAGAAACACTAAATTACAATGTAACTGAATGTAGATTGGCATTTCGATGGTGTCTCAACTCATTTCATTGAACTGCTGTCTTTGTAGCAATGGTGAGAGCAGTCCTTCTCAGGCTTTAGAAGTCTCCGGGTCGGAGAACCAGAAAAGTGACAAGTACTACCTTACGTCAGCGCTGGCAGATGGTGTATTGCAACAAGTAGAGGTAACTGTCAGCTGTAACTTTAGTGCTGCAGTATGTACAAATGTGTTCTTCAGTGTCCGGCTTTCTGACTGTGTTGGTTGTTTCCTCTCAGCTGAGCACTGAAGCTCCAGCCTCTCCCTCTGCAGTGAGCTCTCCCAGTCTCAGCACCAAAAGGTTTTCCTGCCGGATCTGCATGGAGTCTTTCCACGGACGCTCTGACATGGAGAACCACAAGAGGGCACACTTGGATGCCAACACCTTCAAGTGTCCAGACTGTGACTTCACCTCCACCTCCTGGCCTGAGGTCAAGGTGAGTCTCTCAAAACTATGCAGCACTGTCAGTATCTCTGAAGTCAGCTTTTAAAAAAATGTCTAGGCATCCACAAATTAATCGGAAATATACCACTGGATGCAGCAATAGGATGTATATGAAGATGGTACAACTTATCAAACTTCACTCAAACATATCCAAAGCATTTCTGTCATTTTATCACCGTTTCTGTCCCTCTGACCTTTGCTCCTTCTGAATGTGACTGATGTCCTGTTTTATTTTAGTCTCACATGGGGCTGCATTCCTACTTGCGTCCTCACAAGTGTCCAAACTGCAGTTTTGCCTCTAAGAACAAGAAAGACCTGCGCAGACACATGATGACCCACACCAATGAGAAACCGTTTTCTTGCAAACTTTGTGGACAAAGGTATGACATTACATAACCTATTTCTATCAGTTAGATGTAAGAGGTATTGAACAGCTGTTAATATTGGTGTTTTTTTTTGTCCATGATCTCAGGTTTAACCGTAATGGCCATCTGAAGTTTCACATGGAGCGTCTCCATAATCAGGATCATCCTACTCGCAAAAGCCGCACCAACACGCCTCAGCAAACCATTATAGTCAACAGTGATGAGGAGGCCTTGGCCACACTACAGTGTAAGAAACACAGCATCACACAACACAACACTTCCAGCCAAGTCTGTGGGGAAAAAAAAATATTACAAAGAATATTGCAGGGTATTAGAGTTTATAACTGATTTATAGATATACTCGTGGATCAGATTTGAAGTTGAATATATTATAGACTCATTAGACATAAAGCGAAATCTTTAAAATCTTTTTTCTTTTAATGTAAATGATTTTGTCTTCTAGCTAGTAAAAATCAGAAATCCAGTTTCTCTTTGTTAGATTATTTCCTAAGATCAATCAAAAAATGGATTTACAATACAGAAATGACACCTTCTGAAAATTATGTTAATTTATACACTCATTACATTATTAGGGACAAATTCTTGCACCGATGCAGTGCAGCATAGAGGCGATCACTGCTGACAGATTGCTTTGATAGTGGCCTTCAGCTCGTCTGTATTTTCTAAATTGTCTGTAGGTGTGAATGTGAGTGTGCTTGGTTGTCTGACTCTAAGTGTAGCCCTGTGATAGACTGGTGACCTGTCCAGGGTGTCCCCTGCCTTCACCCTGAGTCAGCTGGGATAGACTCCAGCCCCCCCGCGACCCTAGTGAGGATATAGATATTGGATGGATGGACATTTCTCATCTTCCTCTTGACAATTTTTTTGAAGATGCACTAGTACAGAGGGAGTGCACAATTAGTATAGAACAAAAATTATTGAAAAAAAAAAAAAAAGAAAGAAAATTGATGTTTCTTTGTATGTGTGCAACAGCCCTACAAGCACATCAGGCGGTGATCACTCCAGAGCGGCTGCAGGCTCTGGGACAGGAGCATATCATCGTAGCTCAAGAGCAGGCTCTGTCAGACCAGGTACAAACACTAAACCCATGCCCATGCTTGCAATTTATTCTACCAATAGGTTGTCTCTGTTTGCAGTATATACCCACTTTATAAATAAATGCATTCATTTGTGCATCAATCAGGAGGAAGGCGCGTACATCCAACAGATAACCACCATAGACGGTCAAACCGTGCAGCACCTGATGACGGGAGACAACCAGGTGACGGAGGTAAGAGCACTGTTGTATGTTCTACAACCACTTATTAAAAAAGGGGCATGAAACTAATTGATTTGCAAAAGTGTTAGGCATTTAAAACATAAAAAGGATGCTTTTAAAAATGCCGTGAATGTTTTTAATTTCATAATTATCTTCAGAAAAAGTGCAGTAAACATAAAAAGCATAGTGCAATACTGTTTATGTTTATAATTAAACCATTATTGTATTTTTTAAGCTTTGATTTCATCTTATTTCTCACTTGTTCTGTTTCAGGTCCAGTATATCATCTCACAGGATGGAGTACAGCACTTAATTCCCCAGGAGTATGTAGTAGTAGCAGCTGATGGCAACCACATACAGGTTAGCATGTTAGATCATAAGAAATTACCTTAACTGATAGATATAGGTTGCGTTTTAAGGTTCCAACTGTTTTGTCTTTTTTTGTTTTTTCTCCCTCAGATGCCAGACGGACAGATAATCCAGTACGAGCATGACAGAGCGTTTGTGCAGGAGCAGCAGGTGAAGCAGATTCTAAAACGACAATCTAAAACACTCTGCAGCTAAACTGAACCTGTTTTGTTAAAGTGAAGCTGAAAATGATCTTCAGTTTAAGGCTTTTGTTTTGACTCACTGTTCCATGTCTGTTGTGTTTCAAGATTGCTGTAAGTCATGACGGTCAGATCCAGTACCTGCCTGTCAGCTCAGAGCAGCAGATTGTGAATCCTGAAGATCTGGAGGCTGCTGCTCACTCTGCTGTCACAGGTCGGGATAATCACATCTCTGCTCCACTGTTTTTTGATTTTATATATATTTATCAGATATATTAACTGATCATTATAGACGATGTCTGGGAATTTGTGTGGAACATTTTCCAAAACATACTAAAAGTTTAAAAGTTTGAAGCTGCACTAACTTCACTATTAAAATCTCTGATAAATGAAGTATGATATCCCTTAAAATGTGGGGATATCATACTTCATTTATCATTAGACAATCCATTAAACTGTACATTTACTTGTTGAGTTTTCTGTCTAGTTGAAACATGGCCCACTATAAAATGCTCCCTGGTGGTGTGTTTAAGGACTCTCCCACACAAAACGGAGTGTCATCTACCAAAGTGCATTTCATTCACAATCTGTGTTTAATGGGCTGAAACTTATCAAACTACCTGACTGCTCATTTGAGTGAATAGTTAATGATCTTGCTCATTATTAAAAGTTACAAGGTTGATAACAAACATGAAGTGTAAAATCATCATTACGAAGAGGAACGGTAATTACTGAATGCTGACAATAAATCAAACTAACAGAATCATCTTTGTTCTTGTAGCTGTTGCAGACGCAGCCATGGCACAGACCCAAACTGTCTACACTGAAGCTACACCTGAACAGCTGGAGCAGCTGCAGCAACAGGGCATCCAGTACGACGTCATTACTTTCACCAATGAATAGGGGGGAAAGGCGTGCACAGAGCAGGACCAATAGAAAACCACTATGAGCTGATAGAACAGTGACCTCAACTTATTTATGCATTCAGCAGGCTGCGAACGTAAAGCCTTATATTCTCCACAGCGTCACCTGCTCGGGGCGGCGAGATTGTTCAAGATCAACAGCTTTTTGTACATTCAGATTATTGCACCCATTGCTTCTAACTTAATCATAGGGGCTGTGCATTTAAGAGTTAATTTAAGCAAGGCTGGTCTGTTCTGTAATTATTGAAACAGATAGATGTTTATGTGCCTCAGCTGCTTCGACTTGCAAGGCAATGTTATCAGAGAAAATAATACGACTTATATCATGTTTGAAGAAAAATGTCCGAGTGAACATTTAAGTTTTTGAATGAAGTGAAACGATGGAGTGTTTGTTTTCAATCTGTAATAAAATATAATTGTTAGAATGCTGCAGCATCATGTTTACTGAATGAAAAATGTACATACATTTTGCGTTTATCTTCTGTTGTGTGATGGAGGATATGTTTTGGTTTGGCAAGTATAAAATGTTTAATAAGCTGAAAGCTGACACCAAATAAATCATTTTGTTTATACTTGTGTATATTCCTTAATATGTCCGTAGATATTGAGTCGATGTCTGCTTTAAAAATATGATTCTATATACATGAGTAGATGTAGCTCTGGAGTTGTGTCGATGATGTATAATGTTGTGATTCATTGCGTTATAATGTGCTCATGGAAATCCCAGAGTTTTGACATTTTTGTGACTGAACAGCACAGGAAGTTGATGAAATGACAGGAACAAATATACAGTGTAATGAATCCAACACACACACACACACACACACACACAAACAACTATATAAAGAAAATGTTCAGTCAACTTGTCTGTCAGGACCTCCTAACGTTCGGCGCGGTTGTTGTATTTTATCACACTATACAAGCTTTGCTCTTCCTGTGCCTGTCCCCCTGCATCTGCATTATGGGAACAGTGTTGTTTAAAAGAAGCTATAAATGGAATATAGAAATGTGCCGCAAGAGTTCTAAAACGGCCGACAGCCTCGTGAGAAACATGTCTTTCCCTGTCCTCTAGCAGACACACAGACAACTTCCTCATCTTTCCTCGGGAGGAGCTTTCAATCCTCCAACAAGAGTGAAAAACTGTCAAAAACAGCACTTCAACCCAGTGAACGACACACCGAAGATGAAGCTTTCTTTTGTCTTTATACTTTTATTAGGTAGGCTGAAAAAAAACAAATGTCACATTTTGCAACTTTTGTTTTCCTGTGAATGTATAATAATGGAAAAAAAATGTCTTCTTTCCAGATGTCCCTCTTCTGAAAGGGCAGCAGAGGATCGAGGAGTTTGAACAGATTTTGCTGAGACTCTCCTTTCCTTCGTTTTACAACAGCTACAGCAAGTCCTGCTGTAAACTGTATCCGGGAGGATGTTACAAGCTGCTGGACAGTGCGGGATATACCTGCGACTTACTGAGAGGAAGAGTTACCAAAACTGAGATGGACGGCTGGATCGAATTCAAAATATCAAATGTACAATTTGGAGATGGAGGCTTTTACAGATGTGGGGTGCTGGGATCCCAAAGCCACATCTACAGAGACTACTATGTTGAAGTCTTTGGTATGTACTTTTATCGTTTTCATGGGTGTTATGTTATAAATGTGTGTCATATGTGTACATGATAATGCTATTTTATAAAACTGCATTGCTTTCACTTCATAATGTTATTATTTGATAATAATACTTGCATATTGCATAGTTGTTTTTTTCTTTGTTGTTTTAACCCTATTCAGGACTTTCATGTTGCCATGCGTACAAGGTCTTTCGGGGTCCACCGGAACCCAAGAAAGAATATGTGCAAAATATTACAGACTTTTATAGTATGTTAAGTAAATGTTCTGATAAGTTGACATGTTTTTGGTTCCAAGTACATGACAAATGCCCCTTTTTTCATATATATAAATATATTTTAAAAAAACTTCAAAAATAAAAAAAGCAATACCTGTCACCTGAACCAAATGGCCTGGGGTCCAAAAGGCTCCAAAAGTCCTGAATAGGGTTAAAGGATACTTTTTCTTTTTTACCCTCAGGAGTCTTGTCTGATAATATTGCATTTTGCAGAGGCTTCAAATCATCACAGACAGTCTCAGCCTCCAACGACAGCAACCATTAAAACCCTGAACGCCTCCACGACGCTCCCAGACTCCACTGGGGCCGCTCTGGCTCAGGACCACGGGGACATCAGCAGGTACCCACTCTGCAGATTAACTACTTTTTTTTTGTTGCTCTCTGGTCAAAATGGAGCTGAAATTAATGGTTAATCTGAACTTTTTCTTCCCATCATCTTCCCAGAGATCCCTGGAGTTTTGGTCTGCCTCTAGCTATCTCTGTGTCCATTGCAGCGATGATTGTCATCACTTCAGTTATTGGGATTGTTTGCTGCAGAGTCAAGGCAAAATGTAAACAGTCGGGTAAGCAGTTTCCTGAAACTGATTATCACAAAAATGTGATCGTCTGCCAGCGTCGCTGACAAAAATACACTCTTCCTTTTTCTTTCTTTTTTTTTTTAGAACAGTTAACCAATGTGATATTGTGTTGTTTTTCTTTGCAGACAAATATGGGGAAACTCTGTGTGAGTCAGTGAAACAAGAAGCCCCGGTAGGTGCTAAAACAGGGAACATGTAGTCTCCGTGACTCACTGTCAGGTTAAATGTGAGACGTGTTTGTGCTTCAGACTTGTCTTGACCGAGTTTGTCTCCTCTAGGAAATAAGCGGCATCGTCTACACAACAGTGGACTTCAGAGCGCACCAGAAACCCGACGAGGTCTACGCAAACCTGAGCATGCACAAAGCACGAGCAGAGGCCTCAGAGCATGCTGGGATGGTGGAGTACTCCACACTGGCAATCTGACAGGGAATTTAAGAGTTTGTTTTAGGACTAATGTAGTTTTTGAGCTGTCTTTTTAATGGATTTTTATTCAGTTACCATGTAGAGTTTGACAGACACAGTATTAACCAGGCAGAAAGGGAATGCAACATAAAGATGCAGTTGGTTGCAGTATGGGAAATGTACTATCCATCCTAGCTTGACTCAACTGTGCTGATTTGGTTTTTTTTAACTCTTGTGTCCCCATCTTTGTGGAAGTTTGTTAAAATTATTGTTGACATGAAAAATGAAATTATAATGACATTAAAGAAATGAACTCTCGATGGTGAAATGAATGGATTTGTGTTTTGTCTGGGTTTAAGATTTTTCAACTCTCGTGTTCGCAGGCTGAGACAGCAGCAGACATGTCATCAGGTTATCTGTGGTTGTATCAGCGTTTGTCCTTATCAGCTTCTTTTAGACGACAGTGTCAGCAGCACCCTGGACCTCCACTATTCTGAGTCACTCGATATTCTGTTCTTGGCCGGTTGTTCCTTTACACAAAAAAGCTGGCGGTTGCCTTTTTTGTGTCTTTTGCAAAAGGTCAAGTTTCTCTTCAGAGTGAATGAGTCTACGGACTGGACTGATTCTTATCCCTGTGACATTTCAGCACAACGTGAAACTTTTTTGTACTAATGTGTGATAGTGGTTGATTATCACCAAAGTTAAACACACAAAACATGCAGAAGACTTCTAGTTGCTTCAATATTTTTAATGCAAAGGCAGCTACAACATGTTCACACCTCTATTTTCCACAACCTCAACCTAAAAGGAAATACACAATCACATTACACAGACTTGGCCAGACCGATGTACTGAGCCTGGACGTCAAAGACGGTGTAGTACTCCCTGATGAAGACATCTCCCAGGATCCAGAGCTGGGAAGAGCCACCCTGGCCGAAGCCAGTGTTGCAGCCGTAGTAGCTCTGTGTGTAGACAAGAAACAAAAAGGTTTATTTCCTCAGATTTTCATAATAAAACTTCATTTTCTAGTGCAAACAGGAGCCTAACTGACCTGAGAGACGTAGGCAGATGCAGGGACAGTGAAGGCATGTCCGTTGAGAGTGAAGGTGACAGAAGGCATGCTCTGGATGTTCTGGCAGTTCACTGTGGACTGTGAGGAGAACAAAGTTGAAGACCATGCAGTAGCAGTTGTGTTTATTGGTATTTTACAGGTTTCCAGCTGAAGCAGCTAACCAAGTCCTACTTAATCATTTTTATTTGAGAGTTTTGACGTCAGAGCATTAAATGTCAGTTTACTCTGGGTTCAGAAAAAAGGGAAAATGTACGTCAAACTGTCATGGCACTGTGGTATGACTCACATCTCCGTACTGGTCGGTTGAGGCTCCAACCCAGGAGTTAATGTTGTTGATGTCATTGGTTGGGCCGACGATCACAGAGGTACCAGTGTCGATGATGGCCTGGCAGCCGCCAGAGCAAGCCACAGTCTGTCCGTTGATGGTAACGCTGTGAGGAGGAGCAGCAGAAGGTGGAACACAGTCAAAACAAGAAGGTTAATGCAGCATATGTTTGCTCATGATAAAGTAGTCAACAGTTTTTGCTCTATGTTTGGATGCTTTCTTTGTACCTGTCCATGCTGATCTGCCAGTAAGTGGCAGAGGACAGAGGGATCCAGGTGATCTGTCCGGTGTAGTGACTGCTGTCGGTGCCACCAAAGACCACCTCGCTACCCTGGGCCTCGTTGCTAAGAGAAACAAAACCAAACAAATGTCATATGTAAAGCCAGAGTGAAAATGACACACAGAACCCCAACCAACAGATTTCCATCATGTTTCAGTACCCGCTCAAGTAGACGGAGAACTGGGGCTGAGACACCAGTCCCTGCTTGATCATGTTGTCAAAGACAGGCACAACATTGTCAGAGGCAATGGACTGGAAGGCCAAACCCAGGATGCCATCAGCCTGCATGCTGGCCATGAAGGGAGCCTCTGACTGGCTGAGTCCAAACACCTGGTTGGCCACAGAGATGCCACCCACCTGGACACGCAAGACAGCTGTCAGTCACAGTTCAACAGACCACAGAAGAAACGCCTGTTTGAAGTCTAAATAGACTATGCATTTTGTTCCAGAGGTTTCAATTACCTCAACAGTGTCACTGCCCAGATATCCAGTCATGCTGCCGGTGCCGTACTGGATGGACAGAGACTCGCCGTTCCATTTGAAGGAAGAGGACAGCTGAGGCTTGAATTTATTGTGGTTATCTGCAAACGAAAGGTATCTGAATTTTACGACAATGTCAAGAAACTTGGAACCACCTCTACCCACGCAGCAACTACATTCAGCCTCCTGCCACTTAAACTCAATAAAATGTTTCAGTTATTAAACAAGTATTTAGAGCTTCTGTTAGTAAAATTAGTGCTGCAACAATCTAAAAAGCAGCACCAGAGTAAAAAGGATGACTCACATCTGTTTAATACAATTATACTGCTGGGGAAGTTACTTCTAAAGTTTGACACATTCCAATTTTGCAGCTGCTCAGAATGAAGCAGCTACGTTTTAACTGAATGGTCAGAAAATTAAATCTGCGACAACCTATGAATTATATTTTATAAGATAATTGAATGCTTTCTACAAAGTAACAAGTTGCATTAGTTGACAAATAAACATAGTGGAGAAAAATGAAGAAAAAAAGCAGCATACAGTGGAAAAGGACCTCAATCTGTACTTACACTGTGCACAGCAGTGTAAAACAAATATATCAAAGTGTTTGAAATGTGAGTGTCACTCACTACAGGCCTGGCTGGAGCAATAGGCTGAGGGGACCCAAAGGTTGGAGGAGCCGCTGTCAAAGATGACGGTGAAGGACTGAGGAGGGGTACCGATGGAGATCACACCATAATAGGACAACTAGAGGAACACAAGAAAACAGATTAACAAAGAAATCAACTGGATTTGAAACGGCAACAACAAAACACAGTCTAAAGCTTCCAACTGTTGTGGACGTACGTCGGCGTCGTTGGTCATCGACTCAGTACCAGTCTGGGTGAACTTGACCATCGGGCTGTATGGGTGCCTCTTCCTGTACTCCTCCCAGAGGCCTTTCTCCTTCAGGGTTTGCCTGGCAGTCTTACCCTTGATAAGGGGCATCCTACACACAGCAAAGCAAGCAGAGAATCAACAATAAAAACTGCACAAATGCCCTGCATTTTACAGGAGGAGAAAAGTCAGCTCAGCTTTGGCCAAGTCTGAAAGGTGTGACAGTTCAAAGCAACATGGAGCAAGACAGCCTTTAGATTTACCCCACAGCAACACTTGATCTAGAGACTGTTTTTTTACAGTTCAGCCAATTCAAGTGTAAAATGTAAAGAAGATAAATTATATTAAAGGACCCGGTTGCTCTTTCAACCAACCAGGTCAGACTTACTTATGCAGGCATTCGGAGAAAGCCACGAGGGCTGACAGGACGACAAGCCACTTCATGTTGATGTCTTTGCTGTTGGACTCAGTTGAGTGAAGTTCCAGTTGCAGAGTCCAGCCCTTATATACAGTGAATCAAGGTCGTGTCACCAAAATGCCCTTCTGCGTACCTTGATATCAAGTATCAGCTGGAGATAAGAAATGAGTGATATGGCGATAAACGGTTCCATATCAAGAGCAAACATCAAATTAAACTGGTGACCAGTGAAAACTTTTGCTAGTTTTGTGGAGATCCTTTATTGCATCTATTCACTCCGACAGCCAACTGACTTCAGTGAAACTTGTATTTTATGTGAATTTACACAATGTTGTTGTTGCTTACTATATTGTTAAAATAATGATCATTAAAAAGAAATTAAACTTGATGTATTTTAACCACCATTCATTTCAGTGCTTTTGTATTACTGAGGCCAAATCCTGGTGTAGCAGTGCTGATGTGTAACTCAACAAACTCAAAAGCAAAGTTTAGAAGCATAAATGTTTCTCCTTCTTAATGCCAGATGACTGACTTTCATTATCCATAACATATTTAAATATATTGTAAATTTAATGTTTAGTGTTAAGACTTCCACGAACAGTTAACGTGTTGATATGCAGATCAGGTGGTTTGATGTCCAGACCTTCTGTGTAACGCTGATATAAAACTTTCCACAGGTTTCTAAAGGTGTGGACTGGGGTTATTTGGGCAGGGTCATCTGATAACAGTAACACACAAAACAAAGGCACGGCAACAAAGACACAATGGCATGAGGTGCGAGCAAAGAATAACGAAACGGTGACTCAGTGACTGCGCAGAAGCTTACTCTAAACCCAGCGTAAACTTTAGTTTGACTTTGATCGTAAAGTTCATTTCATATCATGTTTACATAATTAATCCTATACATCTAAGAAGCATTTATCAAAGCACAGCAGTGGAAAAAAGTATTTGTTATTATTGCAATTGCACAATGAAAACATACTCCAGGACAAGTAGAAGTCCTTGTGGTCAAAAGGCTACTGAATTGACAGTAAAATGTGCTTCAATGTTATCAATTAAATGACTCTCTATGCAAGAAACTGGCTGTTGTCAGTCAGTTACCACAAGTAAGCCTGCACAATAAAGTTACTGCGATAACATGAAACTCAGTCATTAAGGGATTTAAATGTATACAAGGAGAAGGACATTAAACTCAGTTCTCCATTTTACAAACAGCAAATGAAGAGAAGCTAATATGACAGAAATATGATCTGTCTTATGGTCTTGCTGATTCCTGTTAAAATTCCGTGCTGCAGCACTTTGGATCAGCTGGAGGCTTTTTGTAGAGAGTTATTGGGACATCCTGAGAATAAGGAAGTATAATGATCCAGTCTCAAAGTAAAAAGTGCATGCACTCGTTTTTCAGCACCGCCTTGAGACAGGATGTTGCTGATTTTGACAATATTGCACAAGTGAAACAAGGCAGTCTGAGAAATTTGCTTCATGTTTGAGTTGAAGTACCGCACATAATATATGTTAAATACCTGCAAGTGTTCTCACGGTATCTCTTGAGGCCAAATGCCATCTGGAGTAGCTTTATGGTTAGATAGTGTATTTCTGATGTGAAAGAATACAAAAACTTTAGTTTGGACTGAATTTATTAGAAGACAATTGCAGGTCATCCAGGCCTTTATGTATTTAGAACATGCTTTAAGTTTGAGCAACTTAATTAATTCATCGGGCTTCTTACATAAATGACGCTGTCATCTACATATTAATGAAGCTTTGTGCAGTGTTTCAAGTAATAATGGTACTTCTAATACCAATACAGCTGTTATTATGAATACTAATAATATAGGAATGTGATTTATGTTCCCCTATGTTTCCCTCTAGAAGAGAATGAAAACAGTTTCACTGTCAGAAACAAAATTAGATGTTAAAATGGGCCAAAACATATGACCTTTTACACCTATTGTTTTAACTTTAATTGCGTCTTCTGAAATGTATTTAGAACACTTCTTTTCAAATGAATGACAGTTACATGCACAGCAGCATGGTATCACATTGCTGTTTAATTAATGTTTTATATGTTAAAGCTTGTCAAGCTTCTTATCACTCTCAAGACTGTCTATTTATGAAAAGTTGAAGAAAAAAATCTCCTGTTAAAAATGTTCTGCTGAATTTACCTTTGGCTGGCACCTCCATAAATCAAAACGGTCGCACAAGGTCATAATTTAAATGCACCGACGCAGAGACTGATTATGACCTTCCTCATAATCACACTGCGATTAAAACCGCTTCCTACGTAACACACATTAATCAAATAACATGAGTTGAACATGGAAAAAACTCCACAGAGCACGTACCAGACGATAATGTTGTTATACTTTTATTGACAATAATACTTGTACATTTTATCTTGATAAATTAACATAAAATTTGCAGCAAAAAAATGCAGATGTTTGATTAGTTCACAAATAAATTCCTGGGTAACCTTGGCTTTACAATTATAAAGTGTCTTGTTAGTAAGTTACATTGTCTTAGCATCTCTTTATCATTTGGTTGTTGAGTGCATCAGTAAAATCCAAACTGTGTATTTCAACACAAAGCAAACAAAATGAAGAGTACAGTTAGTGAAGATGATTCTGATCTCAAGTCTTCCCTTTGAAATGTTGTTTTCTGCTGTGCTCGTCTTGATCTCAGTGTTAGGGCATCTGTTAAAAGTCCATGTTTTTGAAGTCGTCGGTACATCTGTACTTGCTGTCAGCGTACCTGGTGCACACCAGGTGGGGGAGACAGGGGCAGGTGTGATGTTGCCTTTTTCCTGCATAGGGCACCTGAAAGAGTGAAAAAGGAGAAAATAAGGGTAGGAGGATAATCTGACAGTTCAAATCCCTCATCAGCTGACACGTGGAGCTGCAGGTTTGGAAAAAGAGTTTTCAATAAAAGTGTGAGTTTCAGTGATGGATGTGGTGTTAGCCGAACTAATTGTTGCCTCGTCCAGATAATCAAAGAGATGTATGACTCTGATCGCCTCCTTCACTGTCGACAAGATCAATAGTCCCTGCAGTTATCAGCAGCTTTTCTAAAGCTTCAGTCACTCTGCCAGCACTTGATACAATCAGAATTTTTGAAAACAAGGATGGGAACGAGAGGAAAAGGCATTCGACTGTTTGTGTTTTTGCGTGATGAAGACCGTGACGCAGGAAGATTATCGACTTCACATTTCTCCCCACCTTGTGGCTGAAGGGGTGGCATTCGTCCCCTTCCACTCCTCTTGGGACGCACATCCTCAGACCCCTCAGCCACAGACTGACAGCACAGCAGAGACCGAAGCCACACTGCACATCTCTCTCACAGGCCTGCAGGGCAGATGGGGAGACGAGATGGTAGAGGTACAGACAGGAAAGCATAAAAGGACCAGAGAGACACAGAGAGATCTTTTAATGCCAGTGGGTCAGTTTTATTTGTATTTATGCTGATAGAGGTGCTCTATTAGGTTTAAATCTATTGCGTTTTTACCTGTTGCAACAGAGCTACTTTCTCATGTTCTTACACTTAAAGTCAATTCATCTATTGCCTGTCATCTCCCTAATCCATTTACAAATGAATATCAATCAGAGGACTGAGATAATTTCCTCTAGGTTTTCCAGCGGAGGAGGATGTGGACTCTTGACTGTCATTTGTAATCATATATCATATATATTTAATCACATTTATATATGTGTGTATATGTAAATAATACATACATATTTATGGTCAAGAGCAAATCATTTTGGTAATCAATCAGTTCTTTGTCATTTATCTGGCAAACTTATCCAACGGTTGCTAACTTCTGCCGCTCAACTGTGAGGATTTGCTTCTTTTCTCCATTTATGTTGCCACAAATTCATAATCTTCTGGTATTCAGTTTCATTTCAGACAAATGATTCAGTTTGAGGACGTTGTCTTGGGCTCAGGATACTTCTAATGAGCATCTTTCACTATTATACATGTTACAGAATATATGGTTGAATAATTAATCAAAACAATTATGAAGAGATGATATGAAAATGATAGGTGCAGCGGTAGTAGGTAATTCAATGATTTATTAAATCACGGTCTCAATACATTACATTATAAAAGAGAGAACGAAAACTGTTACAGAATGGGAAGACAGTAATAATGTCAAATGTCATTTTTAATTTTGCAGTACTCGAAAAATGTATGTTGCTAATTAGACAGTCCTCTTAAAAACTTAGACTTAACATTGAAGCAGCAAAGCCAGAAAAAGCCAAAGTCACTCACCCCTGTGATGACGGCTCCTCTGGAGCAGCTCAGAGACACCAGCAGGAAGGACAGCAGCACCGCCCTGAAGCTCATGACAGCAACAGGAGAACTGGACTCTCTCAATGCCCTCAACAGTGAGCAGCAACCGCAAAACAGACTCTCCGGCACGTCACACTGGAACCCCGACTCTTCAGCCAGTCATGAAGGTTCTCAGAACTCCTTAGAGAGAAGCCTGACTCTCTCCCTCTCTTTATCTACCTGCGACCCCCCACCCAACACTCTCCCCTCCCTCCCGGCTCTGCTCCCTCCTCATGTCTAAGATCTCCCCTCCCCGCCTGTCTGTTCTGAAGCTTCGTCGTCTTACTCATCTAGATGACAGCTGATGAAGGCTCACTGTATAAAGCAGATCTTTGATTGTTGTGCAGTGTCTGACTCTCCATCTCCTTTCCATCAGTATTCATGACTCAAGTAGTTCAAATGAACAAAAACATGTATAAACAATATATGACAAAGCACTGCTGAGCTGTTTTCCATATAAATTTCATCACTTGTTGAGCTGTTGTGGAGAACAGCTCAGACAGTGATGAAATTGATATGAACTAAAGTGAATCTGGCACCACTTCGTGAGACAAAAGGGCACAGGTGCAATGAAACCCTGAATTATTTGTCCGTCTGAAGGGGCCAAGACAAAACGAATCAAAGTCAAAGCTGCATAATGAGTTTATTGAAATTACCAGAGGCTGACTCATGGACTAGCACCATGTAAAGCATTTATAGGAAGAGAAATGACGTTCATTATATTATATTATATTGAGGTATGTGTGCCATGATGTCATCCACTGGGACAGCTGTCGTCAACTGTAGATGTATGTCACAAATGCATCCAAACTGAGAAAAAAATCATACAAATATATGAAATTAATAATCCTGGCCCAGCAGGAATAAGGCACCCTTCCTATATGCTTACTCTTAGTTCTATTTTAAAACTCTACTTAAACTTTTTTTATTGTTAGTACCAGCAATATATTGCATCTCTTTTGTAAATACCAAGAATTTGTCACCGTAATTGTAAATATCAGCAATTTTGGCACCTTATTCCTTCAACCAGCATGATTTGCAAGTTTATTGTACGCTGTTTTGTACGTTGGTTTCCTTATCTTTCTCAAATGTAACAATTAAGTTGTGTGAACAATTGGATACCTTGAATTTCCCCCAAGGGGGTGAATAAAATATCTATCTATCCAATCTATCTCTTTATCTATATACAGCAATACATTTGCATGTACATAGAGCGTGAAGGTTACAAACTAACCTAGAAAAATATCAGTTTTGATTGTAAAATCTGTTATTTCTATTCAGAAAATGAAAATATTTTTGAGACTTTTGTTACTAATTTGCACTAAGACTGCGTATTAAGCAGTAGTGTCACTAAATGCATCCCAGAATAGTTACAATGGGTCTTGATGTCCCTGAATTATAGCAGTCGTTACATAGTATGGCAGGGTGCTGATACACTCTGAGTCAGATCTCTATTTGGAGTTCAGCTCATTTATAAATTGACAGTAGCTGTAAAGTGGATATTTGTTACAAATAATGGGATGTTGTATTTATGTCAGCCTCACTTTGAACAATATTCTTTGTATGTGTGTGTGTGTGTGTGTGCGCGTGCGCGCGCGTGTGTGTGTTATGCAGGTGACAAGGGAAGAAGATATGATGTGAATCTAGTAAATTATTCTGCATTCATAAACTTGGACTGGTACGTGTGTTTGCCTACGTGCACGCTGGGACAGTGATGGGCAGCTGGTTGTCAGCGGAAGCAGGCGGGTTGTGATTTAAGCCGTGAGGAGAGAAATATGAGCGAGAGAGGAGGAGAGGCTAAGATAGAGGAATTAGAGGAGAGGAGGGGCAGCGTACCCCATGGGTTAGTCAGCAGGACATTACCCTGCTGCTGCTCAGGTGATGGATTCCTCCAATGCAGCAGCCACATAATTACATTCAGCCATTTCTGCCCAGTCAGCAGGAGCACTGAAGCCTCACCGTCTTGGGACAGCCAGCAGAAATCATGCAGGATGGTGAGCCAAGAGGCCTCAAGCTAACTTTTGAAGAAAACACATTAACAAAATCCATCAACAAGAAGCTGCAAGAAACAAGGATCCTGCTTTAAACTCATAGTATTAACACCATATTTTATGTTCAATAAGAAAGGCATTGTAAAGGTCACATTATTTTGGTGAACGTATTAAGCATTTATTATGCAGAATAATGTTTGCACCATTCTGCTAGCATTACTCAAATGGTAACTGGGGTGGTGGACATTATTGTGTTTCTACATGTGATTTCAGTATGCAGTGATAAGATGATAACGTCAGACAAAAACGTCACATCCAAATAACTGTTTTAAGACTGAGGATGATGTGGCACCAGAGCTGTGTTTGGCATCTTCAACTTATTTATGAGAGACATCAGAATGTGCTTCCTCATGCAATCCTTGAGAATACAGTGGAAACTGGATTATGTATAGAGTTAACGAAGGACAAAGTGATCGAATTGTATATCAATGTGTCAAAATCCATCTCTCCCAGAGGGTGGGATGAAGACACTTAGAGATCAGTGATGAAATATTAAGCAGCTGGGTTTCATTACATAACTGCTCCTGGTTAGAAAACTATATGTTTATACACATGTCTTTCTCTGTTAATTGTCAGTAATTGTATAAAATTTTAGAAATATGCTTACACTATCAAACTTGCATGTAACCGTTTTAAAGCTTCATCTATTAAATACAAAGAAAATATTTTTGAAATTACATAAGTAGTTTTCTCTGTTAATTGTTACTAATCGTATGTACATTTTAAAAGTATGTATACAGCGTTAAACTTGAATTTGAAAGCATCGTCTATTAGAAAAAGGGCAATATGGTATTAAAAATTATCTAATTCCTTTAAAAATGTGGAAATTTTGGGTCTATTTTACATCAGACACGACATCTATCTATCTATCTATCTATCTATCTATCTATCTATCNATCTATCTATCTATCTATCTATCTATCTATCTATCTATCTATCTATCTATCTATCTATCTATCTATCTATCTATCTATCTGTGCACACATTGTACATAATGTAATGTATACTACACACACACATGTCCTGATAACACTTTGCTTGTGTGTTACTTGGCTTATTGTTTTACGCGCTTCGTGTAGTTTGGTCTTCATGGCGACCCTTAGCGCACGTGACGGTCACCTGACTGTACCCGGAAGCGTCGAGGAAGTAGACAACAACAAGAAGAGGTCTTCATGCAGCAAACTTGATTTTCTGAGTTATTTACGATCGTTAACTATGGAGTCGACCCTCGAACAGCATCTTGATGATACGTAAGTTAAAACCAGGCTGTGACTCTGTTTTTATCGTTACATTTTTGACGTTAACAACGACTTTTCGCTCCTTGTCGGTGTTTTTGGCAGCATGAAGAACCCAGCGGTTGTCGGTGTGCTCTGTACGGATCAACAAGGACACAACTTGGGCTGTAAGACAACTTTAGCTTGTTTTTTTCTGTCGGAGTTTAATGGGAAATGCATTTCAAGTGTTTTCACGCTGAGCGGACCTTTTACTCAGTGTTTGTCAGGGAAAAGTTAACCCGAGCTAGATAGGGCTCCACTTTTAAAGGGTTGTTAGCTCTAACTAGTGGCCTTACTAATTGTCAACACAATTCTTAAAAATGTTTTGTAATCAGTTACGTGTCATCAATAAGAGCACAGTCCAGAGCACATTTAAATATATATATATATATATATATACAAGTGTTAGTCTTGGTGCTTTAAAAATTACTGATTTATTACTAAAATAATTGATGATTATTTTTGATTGACACATCAGTTTATGGTTGCAGCTCCACAAACAAAGGTAATTTTAAACCTGATGATGTTGTAAACAGTGCGAAACCCAAAGTGTTTCACATTTTCTGCATTGTTCTGTCTACATTTGTGCTAATTTTTTTCGCACGCTTATCAGCAATTAATAATTAAACCATTATAATTCTGCCGTTGTAAATCTCATCAAACAGATATTAAAAAGTTCAAGTGTCCTGCAGTCTTTTCCCACAAAATAAATGCTTGTGCAGAGTAAATAAAATAATCGAAAAGCAGTAGGTGTCTTGCTTTAGGAATTGTTTTCACCACTTAACCTATAAGCCATTCATAAGCTATTATAAGTGTTGGTAAATGTTTTGTTAATCCACTAATTAGAGCTTTAAAACCCTACTAATCCTACAAATGGTACCGTATCTGAACGTGGTACCAGCTTACCTTTGATTAAACTTTGATTAGCTCATATAAAATTACCCAAGCTCAAACACAAATGAATCAGTTAGTAGTAAGTAATTTTCCAAGTACAAATTTCCAGAATCTGTTTCTCAGATGTGAACATTTTCTGTTATTCTTCGTCTTCTGTGACAGTCAGTAGGCAGTGGGCATTTCTGATGACATTCCAATGACCAGCTGATAAATCAACAAAATAATAGGTTTGTGGAAAATTAAAATAAGTTAGTTTTAAGCCCCGCTTGGAACATTTAGTTCATGAGTAAAATATTAATTAATTAAACAACCAGTTCATCACTGAGAAGAAAATAAATGTCTCCAGTATTTATTGAAAAATACTGATTTATTTTCAGATTGGACATAACTTAGGTTTTAATTTTAACACCAAAATGCTAAACATTTGTTAGGTATAATTAGGGTTAATTTCATAGAGTGGGTGTTGTCCCTTCCATCGACAGGGAAGAGATGTATGCACATTTGAATTATTTTCAAAAGCAGAAAGAAATGCACTTGCATTTGTGAGAAAATGTATTTGGAATTTGAGAATATCACACCATGTTTTGAGAATCGGGATTATTTACGATGTTTTCTGTGAACTAAAAAAAAAAAAGATGAAATAAGCAATCATTAGCTCCATTATAATCACCAAACCCAGGTGCCAAGGCTTCACATGGAAAATGCACATTTTTAAACGTGCATGAAACAAACAACTCATTTTGTTCTGTCAAACTGCGTCACAAGCGCTGCAGGGTTTAATCATAGTCACCAGGGTAACCGCTTAACATCGGAAATTACACGGGATAAATACATGCTAAATGAATTAGTGACGAAAAATGAAAAAAGTAAAGTTATTTATGAGCACCACTGATAATAAGTAGCAAAGCCAGATGTAGCAATTGTGAATACTGGCTTTTAGTGACTGAATGCCAGCAAATGTACTGATCAATTTAGATCTTAAAAAACTTTTCATTATTTGACTGAGGTGAGGTAAAATATATTAGAACTGTAACTGCACTTAGTTTGCCCTGAACACCCAAACAACATGCCCCGCATATCCAGGCCAACTACAGGAGATGTATGAATGGAAGTACAATTTCACATGTAATATGTCCAAAACAAGAAAACTTTACAGGCTGCATACAAAAGGATTTTAAAATAAAAGCTACACATTCATAGAAATATACGTATTTGCTTTTCAATTGAGACTTAGATGAGAAAATGTATAGCTCTGACATGTTTACATAGTAAATCAGAAGATATAGGCAACAGCTACTTAGCTTAGCGTAGCATTAAAACGGGAAGAAACACTAAGTCTGGATCCGTCTCAAACTAACAAAATCAGTCTGCAAAGCTCACTAACTAACACATGATACTGTATTGTGGTTGTCTCACCAATACAAAAACTGAAGTGTACAAACAGCAAATTATGTTTTATCGGGATTTATGTGTAGAAATTTTTGGTCAGATACAAAACTTCCTGAAATTTTGTTATAAATGGGAATAAACCACTAGAGCCTCCAGGAAATTGTCCCAGATTGTTTGACTGGGATATTTCACAGCAGTAAAACTACACTCTGTTTGTCTCCTTTTTAAACAAAAAGATGTCAAAACATTCATCATATAATAAAGTCAAAAACATATTGATTTGGCTTCTCAGTTGTGAAATTCAGCTTTGGAAAGAAGCAGTTAGAGTTTGCAAATTCGATTTTAGTTACCTCAGAGGGAAGTTAATGTTTCTTCAGTACTGCATAATCATAATACTATCTGTTTTATTTCCAGGCCGCGGCTCCCTGTCTGACGAACATGGCGGTGTCGTGTCAGTTTTGGCCAAACAAGCTGCAGCTCTGACCAGAGACCCAACTGACTCTCCAACTGTGTGTCTGGAGTCTGAGTCAGGGTGAGAACTGACACAACCTTCTGTCTTTTTTGCTTGACTGATTGCATCTGAACTCCTTTATCTCTGTCTCAGTGGATTTAAGGTGTGTCTTTGGGGGCTTTGATTAATGCGTGTAGAGATCGATAACTCTAGAAGAAAGTGTTGAAAGAGATCCAGAATCAAAGATTGTGTTTATAACCCCCAAACCTTTAGCCAAGGAGGTTATTTTTGTGGCTATACTGCCACCTTCTGGACTCTGGAAACCATCATCTGGTGGACATGTATCAGTAACTTCAGCTCTCCGCTGTACTTAGGATTGTTAGAGAGAAGTGATCTAAAATGTTACACCTTATAATGATTGCATAGAAACTGTGTATGGACATGCTTGTGACTTGTTGGCAGCTTTGAATGTGTGATATGAGGACCGTACGTGTAAACACTGTTTGTAAATAGATGACTTGATAGCTGGAACAAATGTCAAATTTTGAAAAGAATTGTGACGAATAATTTAATTTGATCCTGTCATGAAACATTTCTATCCTGATGACAATCCAGGATGACAGTGCCTCCATCCATGAGGCACGAGGGGTCACTGAATGCTTTGATGATTCTGAAAATGATGCAAATCATTTGCTGTGACCTTTGCAGTCACCACAGCCAACCAAAATTAACACCTATTGGATATTTAGGACTGACATGTTTGCTCTCAGGACTGCAAGGTGTCTCGGTGGTTAGCACCGTTGCCTCGCAGCAAGAAGGTTGCCGGTTCGCGTCCCAGTGAGGACACCTGGGATCTTTCTGCGTGGAGTTTGCATGTTCTCCCCGTGCAGCGTGGGTTCTCTCCAGGTTCTCTGGCTTCCTCCCACAGTCCAAAAACATGTTGAGGTTAATTGGTGATTCTAAATTGTCTGTAGGTGTGAATGTGAGTGTGCTTGGTTGTCTGTCTCTAAGTGTAGCCCTGTGATAGACTGGTGACCTGTCCAGGGTGTTCCCTGCCTTCACCCTAAGTCAGCTGGGATAGACTCCAGCCCCCTGTGACCCTTGTGAGGATTAAGCGGTGTATAGATAATGGATGGATGTCTGCTTGCTCTCTTAACCACCGTTATCAAAACACAAAATGTACATACAAACAAAAACTTCAAAACTTTCAAAAAGCATAAAACATTGTTTTCATACGTGGTGTCCTAGAATACTTAATAAAGCCTTTTGAATGGAGTGTGTGGCTTAAAGCATGAGTGAGCTATACATTTCTAAAAGGAGTGTGTCTCTAACAATCTCTATATTTCTTAAACATAGCAAGATCCATACATTACAATTTATAATATAGAGAAGACAGTGAGAAGGAAGAACTTGGTTTCACTTTATGAAACCTAAGCAGTTTCTGGGTGTTTTTGGCTCTTGTCACATTTTTACTCTCCGTGGGCTCATTGTTTTTGCTGCAATATAAAGTCCTCCACCTCTATGAAAACAGCGCAACCATGGCCAGAAGTAGAGAGAACTTAAAAATGTCGTCTGTGCAGTATGAGACAGCTATAATACCATAATAGTTAAAGGGGAAAAAAAGACAGATTATTTTTTTAAAAATATCTATTTTACAAAAATTTAAAAATATGACTTTGACGTGTACGTTTTTTAAAGTTCCCACAGGTGATGCCGGTACTGGAGAAAATGGTGACTTTACATATTATAGATATTTTACTAGTTGCTTTTTTTGTTTGTTTCCATGCTTGTCCCCTGTCTGCTCTGTGTAAACACAGCCTGCAGTTCAGCCCAGTTCGGATTAGGTTTGCTTCAATTCCCAACAGAATGACATTTCATGGATGAGTAGTTTAAGGACTGTGGGAAAGCTGAAAATTCTACACTTTTCTCTGTTTTCACAGTTTCTAGCTCTGATAAATGATGATGTTTTTTCAAGCTAACTTGCCTTTCAAACCTTATGGTGGGTCACTTCATAACAGGCAGAAAGCGTCGATAAAACCAGACTCAGGGAGGGTCGACCGTCTGCCTCCACTGGCGGAGCTGAGAGGGAAGCAGAGAGCTCTGACAAACAACAAACAATAAACAACGAGCTGGTTGGGGGAGGCAGTAACCACAGATCAGAAACATTGCAGCTCCAGAGCAAGAAATACCTGCTGTAAGGTGCAGGGAGAGAGAGGACAGAGAGGACAAACCACTGGAGAGGCACAGTTAATAACATGCAGCAGTGGCATAAATGCATGGAGAGCGAGAGCTGAGGAGAGGGGGCCCAGTGCATCATGGGAGCTCCCCCAGCAGCCTGGGCCTCCAGCAGCATAAATAAGGGATGGTTCATGAAGATGGTGTTGCTAAAAATAAGTCACAGCATCACAATAATAATGCTTTTTAGGAAGTTTTGTGGAGAGAACGTGGTAATGATTGGTCAAAAAATAGCTACGGATATGTAGTATAATCACTTTCAATTAATCCATGTTGTCTGTAATTATTGTTTATCAGGTGAATGTTTGTCTTAGTACATTTCTTTGTGGGTTTTTTTGTAGAAACATTCTGGTGAGGAGTCACGGCACCATCACAGTAGCAGTTCACAAGATCGCATCATGAAGACAACAGGATTCACTGAGGAGTTTTATTGTAAAGAAAGAAACACAGTCGAAGAAAGAGAAATCTGGAGTCTCTACACTGATCCACTGTGTTTTTGTTGTTGTATATTCAGATTCCAAACGCTTATTAATTTTGTGTGCTCTTCCTATCTTTCTGTAAGTCACGCTATTCTACTGATGTCATGTACAGAACAGGGATTGTCTCATGTTACGTGCAGCCATGTTACTGCTGTGTGTCTCTTGTGTTGGCTTTTATTCCCAGGCAATCATGCACAGAATAACAACCCTTAATAAACTTTAACTTGACTTTGAGCATGCCCTCTTCTGTGTTAAGTATTCATTATTTTCTCCTTTGCCTTGGTTAACCAATTATTTTTCCTCGACACCTGCGAAACATTAATTCGAGTTTTAGAGTTTGCAATCATTAATCAAAGTGATGTGACCCAACTCATACTCTGCGCTCAGCTTTCCCTGATATATATAAATATATATATAAAGACAGAATAGGAGCATGTAGGAACAGGCAGGAGTGTGCGCTCTGGATGAATCTAGGCTACTATCTGTAAATGCTTCTATAAGGAAAACCTGTTTTTGCCAATGCGCATATTTGCAGTGCGTCTTGGTGGCGCACCGCCTCCTGTAGAGGACCTGAGGAAAGTCCTGCGGTGGCTCTGATGTTTTGACCGCAGAGGTTTTTTTTTTTTTTTACCTCCCACCCTCTGAGCCTTCAGATGGGGTTCATTGCTACGTCTCAGTCACGTGGCTTCCCTCGTTGAAGGCTTTTGCGCTCTGCGGCTCCTCGGCACAGCGAAGCGATGCTGAGGCTGAGGTGTGAGATGCAATCCAGAGGGTCCGGCGCATAGAGGCAAAGAAGTTATGGCACGGTCATCCTCGGACAAACAGGTCCCGCAGCAATCTCTCTGTCTGTCAGAAAGTCCCTCAGTGGTGCCGCGCAGGTCTTTCAGGGACGCACAACCTCGGAGCGAGAAAACCCCAAATTACGCGTCAAATTAAACCAATCGGAGCAGAAGCAAGTCGACGGCAGGAGGAAAATACAGGTATGAGCTGCTCCTCCTCCTTCTTCTTCTTCTTCTAGTGGGGAGATGTATAACTGTCAACACATTTGAAGCATTTTATATGTGAAGAAAACGTTCTGTTTAATATCTTTCTTTTTGTTTGTTTTTGTTTTTTGTTTTTTCTTTCTATGGTGACCCGTGCGTAAAAAACAAATCTCCCCCAAACTGTTCTCCTCTGAGACCCTCGAAAGTTTTTTTGGGTTGTAAAACTTTTTTTTCCTCACATTGCGTCAGTACGGGTTTCAGAGGGTCTTTTTTGTGTTTTTGCTCAGATGGCACCCAGATGACATCTTGAAATGCACCCGTGAAGTGTCTGAAATTTTTCGCATCTGCTTTTCGACCCCCTTTTCTTCTCTCCCTCTCTCTCTCTCGCCCAACCAGCGGAGTTGACTTGAGCGAAAGGACGCAATGCAACAGGCCTGCGAAGTGAAGATAACAACTGGCTCACATCTACGCACGGTAAGACCACCCTGTTCTCCCCCCACCACCACCACAATAATGCGTTTTTCTGTATGCACCCTGCGGACTAAGCCAAAAAGCTCTGAGCTAAACAGCCTGCATTTACTACATAATCTCACAATTCCTCAAGGACTGATGTCTGGCTTTTCTCAGTGCAGAAGTGAAGCTGTGGTCAGAGTCTGAGGCTCAAGGTCGAGGATTGTTTTGATGGATGAACAAGGCAAACAGGGAAAGTTAAAAATTATTTCAAAAATAATTGGAAATAATTCAAGTGGCACTTTTTAAGAGTTAGAAAACTATTCAGCTCTGCACAAAAGTAGAATACTGGTGTCGGAACATGCTGAAACCTTGATATTTTTCCTTTCTGATACTTTACTTAGTTAAAAGATACTGTTGTTTGCCTTTAATGATCAACTGGAAGATCTGAACCAGACTTTTTACCTCCAGTCAGTAAATCTCCCCTGTCTGCAGGCACACTGAGAGTATTAAAAACAACAGTAATGCTGCACAGGGAGATCATTTTACCAATCTGGGGTTATGATATATACTGTAGTGGAGCTACTATTACAGATGGAACATAGTGTGTGTTCTCAAACTAACCTGTTTTGCAGATTTTTACACAATGCACCTCTGGATGTTTTTGAGTAAATGTGTCACTGTTGTGGAAGGTGGGATCATTGATTGACCCACTTTTTGAATTGCTTCGCCAACAAGAAGTAGATTTTCGTGTCTTCGCTCCAAGCTCTCACAGACAACCTATTTCAAGAACAAAGCAACGCCAGACTTCAAAATTTGCCGGCTGTTTATGCAGCGGCTGACATGTCAGTGCAGATCTTTTAAGTGCGTTGGCCTTAAAGCAGTCTATCAGTGTCTGACAGTTCTTGTTAAAATACTGACATACGTGTCATCAATCAGACCTCAGAATCTCTGTGACACAGTTTAAATACACACGTGCACTTTCTAAACTTTGGAAAAAGTATGTTGGTAGGGCGTTGCACTGATGCTCGTAACCTGTAGAACCTGGTAGGGGAGGTTTTTTTTCTGCAGGTGTAGCTGCTTTCATCTTCAGAGTTCAGAAGTCAGCTCCAGAGGGAAATCAGGCTCACTTGATTTGTGGTTTTAATTTGAAGGGTTCATTTGCAACAACAGATAGCTCCATTTTTGTAGATTTTCAGAAAACATTTTTTTTGTTTGAGATAAAATCAATCAAATGGAAGGTGAGTGGATTTGACTCAGTGGAAATGACATGACAAAAATAGAGATAGCTTAAGTTTGATTGATATTGTCTCAGGTAGACGATGGAAAAGTGGGTTTTCTGAAGGTTTGTGAAGATCTGTTTTTGCAAATGAACTCTTCAATTGATACTGTTAGGAAAATTCTTTAGTGGAGTCCCAACTGCTCCAAATCAGTACAGTCCAGTGCAGTCGTCTCTTCAGTCAAAGCAAAGTTTTACTTGTAGCAAGGAATCACATGCACAGTACAGAGTCTGAACAAGTGACTGCAGAGTCAAGAAATGTAGTATTTATACAGGCATACAAAGGATTTCTCCCCTGCTCCCATCTGCTGAGCACAGGCTTGGTTACTTTTTGCAAGTTCTGTGCAGACTATCTTTCATGGCCTTCTGTATTTCAAGAGTTGGACAAAGAGCATTGAATCATAACATATAACACTGATTTTTTAATAACAGATACTTTCCTGTCATTGAAGAGACCTGCACATAGCATGCCATAGATGACTGTGGAGCATTTAAAGTGCACTTTTCCTCTTGCGTAGTTCTAATTTGTGCAATACTTCGGTTTGTGACCAACCGTTTGCAAAACTAGTGACATGACCAACCAGCTTCAGTTGCACTTTGCATGCAAAGCTGATGAAAATGGTATAAATTCTACCTGATAAACCTGTTGCTGATGGTGCACTTCCATAAGCAAATAGCAGCTGAAACCCCTTTAGGCTGTAATTAATGATTTGGAGTCTGCACGCTATAATTGATGCACTCAGGAGCATTTATTAAAGCACCACCTCATGGTGACCTTTCAAGCATAAACGCAGTCATTCAGACTTCAGTTTTATGTCTTAAATGTCATCACCCAAAAGTTTAATATTAGTGTGCAGACTCTTCCAGATGCTGACAAATATGTTTTTGTGCATCATCTAGAAAGCATCACCTGTTGATGGTTGAGGGATTATTTAATTGTGCTTAACCACATTTCCTCATCTGATGTTCAAACTGTTCATTTCTTGTATGTTGTAGGTCTAAAGCCAGTCTTGATGCAGCCGTAGTTCCAAGTGCCCTTCAATCAACCGGAGAATGATGGTCAGAACATAGGACTTCTGAGTTCTCCCTTCACCTCCAGTGCCTTCAGGCGTACTACAGAGACAGCACAACAGGTAACTCCACAAGCCTTTTGAAGTGGTAGATTTCTGACTTCTTTCATTCGTGATACAGAGAAGCTGTGGTGAAGTGAACTTTCGGAGCAGCTGATGTGTAACTGATCAGGACTCCTGACCAATAAATGCACCAGACTGAAAGTAAATTATGCTGCACACATAGTGATGGGAGGCTTTTTATTGATTTCTTTGTTATTGTTTTGACACTGTGAAAAAAGTCTTTGCCATCACTTTTTTTTTTTAGATTTCCCCATTTGAGCTACAGAGGAAGCAATTACAAAGATTTGTGAAATAATTTATGATAAAAATGAAACCAGAAAATCCCTCAGAGGAGGATTGATATCTGCATAATTTGGCTGGATAAACTCATAACATGCTGACCCTGATCTCCGAAGCTTAGTGCCATTAGTTTCCACAACTGAGGTGTGAGTGTTGTGCAATATTAGGGTCACAACGGCAACGGCATCCACAGATAGCAAATGAGACACACGGATTATAGTTTGATATGGATTCTGAAGAAAAGCGCTTTGAGGAGGAGACACATGATGTCGTTCTCCCTCTTGTCCAAATTAGCCATAACAAGATGCCTACACATGGAGGGCAATGAAACCCAACGTGTTTTTTTCACTTAAGCTCCAGTAGCCTAGTGTTAACTTCAACTGAACTTAACAAAGCAAGAATTGTCAATTTTGCCTCCATCTCTTTCTGGAATCGCATTAGTAGGGGATCTCCGTCTAACCACTGCGGAAAACAGGATCAACTACAGCAAACAAAATCTTTGTCTATGCACATGCTGATATGTGAAGGTTGTTTCAGGACATTTGATTTAAAGAAGCTGAGCCTGTTCTTCTGTCATAAAACCGACTTGAATCCGGGCCGAGTAAAAATTTGGGGCTTTGTTTTTAATGGCAGCGGATTTCATTCATTTAAAAGCACAAACCTCCTGATTCAAATAAATAATTTTAAGATACAAATAGCACGCCTACAAGAGCAGCAGCAGCAGCAGTAGTAGTCCCTTTCTTTATCATAAGAGTGCATACACCACAAAATGGCAGCTTCTTACCTTTTTCTGTCATCTACAGCAGCACATGCTTGTTGACTCACTTGTGCTGCACACTGGTGGCGCTGTAGAAGTCCAACCAACAGATTATTTTAATATTTTTAGTCAAAATTTGAAGTAAATATGAAGAAGTCATTGATTTAGAATATATATATATATATATATGTATAGAGAGAGAGAGAGAGAGAGAAGTTTTTCCATCAAAATAGTCCCATCCTGCCTTAAAATGACTTAGTTGTAAGCCCTCATTTAGAATGTGAGGATAGATGAATACACAGATTAGCCACCCACTCATCCACCACTGCAGTTAGAACATATTTGCTTAACTA